TCTCTAGTCTGTTTCCCCATAACTTTCCTTTCATATATTATGAAATCAGCTGGTTTACATCTAACAATCATCATCATAAGAGTATCTCCAAAAACCACTATCGATATTTACAGAGTATTTTATAGTTTATAAGACACTTCCCTTACATTTTCTTCTTTCTCCAACCCTTCATAGTTGTCATTGCAAGTAAAGAGAACACAAATCATGTTATTAATATAGGATGGATCTAAGATTAAGAGTCTGATTTTCAGATGGCACATCTTAAAAATAAATGTGCAATTATTAGTTCAGCAGAGTACTTTTAATAACACCTGCAGGTATGTCCCACCTTCAGAAAACAAATTTTGGAAAGGACTTTTTTTAACTAATGTTATTGAACCTGACCTGAATGAATGTAGACATTCTCTCTTGTATCTGTTCCCCTTTCCCTGCTTAGTGACTTTGGAAAGGGTTCTCAGACATTGGCTTCTAGGTACCTCACCTCTTCTAGCAGATGGAAAGGGAAGTAGGTAACCCAGGTTATGGGGCCAGGAATAATTGCTTTTTAATCAGGATTTTAATATTGCAAGGCCAGAGTATAGCAGATTATGAGAATTTTTTGGAGTAGCTTTCGATTTCCAACAAAATTGAAAGGAAGGTACAGAGATTTCCCATGCACTTCCTGCCCTCACACATGCATAGCCTCTCTTATTATCAACATCACTCACCAGAATGGTACATTTATTACAAAGGATGAGCCTACATTTACACATCATAATCGCCCAAAGCCCATAATTTTCAAATTTACAATAGAGTTCACTCTTGATGTTGTACACTCTATGGGTTTGGACAAATGTATAATGACATATATTCATCATCATAATGTCAAGCAGAACATTTTACTGCCCTAAAAATTATTGTGCTCTGCCTATTCATCTCTCTCTGCCACCAATCCCTGGTAACCATTGATGTGTGATGTGTGTGTGTGTGTGTGTCCAGAGTTTTGCCTTTTCCAGAATATCATATAGTCAGAATCAAACAGTATGTAGACTTTTAAGATTAGCTTCTTTCACTTTGTAATATCTATGTGAGGTTCCTCTGTGTCTTTTCATGGTTTGATAGAGTTTTTCTTTTTAGCACTGAATAATATTCTGTTGTCTGGATGTACCACAGTTTATTTATTCATTAACCTACTGACCCTGGTTGCTCAGGTCATGGAATTTGATGAGAAAAAAAAATTCTAAGGATGAACAATCTGCTCATTAATTTTTCTAACATAGCAACGTTATTAGGATTCCACATAAATATTCCTCAACAGTTTCAGAGCTGAAGAAGAAATGGATGGGGCATGGTTTTTACAAATTATTTGTGTCATTGAATAGTATGAGAAATGGGAATATGACTGTTTCTTGTTTAAACAACAATTCACCAGGTGACAAAACATCCCAGATACAGGAAAGGCTTATCTGTAGGTGCCATATTGAGTGCTTAGTCATTGCAGACACAAAAGGAAATAGGAAATGGAAGAGGTTGATTTATGTAACATTGAAAGGGATGCCCCTCAATCATTATCAGTTAACTATTGTTATTTTTTCCATCTGTTGGAGTCAAAAAATAACTCTTCCCACTCCTTAAGTTCTTCTGGCTGGGCTAATAATCATATTAACATGATACAGATTAACAAGAGAAAATATCCAAAATTTATTGGGGATATGCTTATAGGGGTTCTGTAAGATATGAGACTGCAAGACACATTGGGCAGTTGAGGTTTATACATTATTCAGGACAAAGGAGAGGGAGGCAAGGGTATGGGATTTCAAAGGCAAAGCAGGCAATTCACAGGTAGATGAGAAAAAGCAAACATGTGGACAACAAATTTTTGCTGATACACCCAGAAACAGTGTGACACAGGGAATCCAGCAAATAGTTTTGTTAGATTTGTCCCCATTTGCCACATTTAGTTTACATTTGGTGATGTTCCCTTTCTTTAAAGTAGGTTTTTCTACCTGAATTCCTCTAGGCAGGTAACGGGAGGTGGGTCAAATGTTCTTTCTCAGTCTTTTGTTTCTTAATAACCAGTTTGAAGTTAATATCCCCAAAGGCAAATTTGAGGGTAACAAAACTTTGGTCCATATCACATCATATATCCTGAATTTGGATGTCATCTTCATCCTTGAAGAGCTTTTATCTTAGCTAGATGAACATTGCTGTTTTTGTTGGCTTGTTTTCTTAATCATTGAGAATATCTGAAAACTACTAATGTGTGTGTGTAGAGGAGATTTAATCTCTTACATCTATGTTTTTAGTGAAGGTAATGTTAGTGTCAAAGTAAATTTTTGTGACTTTGACTATTTTGTGGCAGTAGAAGTAAAGGATAATATATTTTGACCAGGTGTAAAACAACTGTACGTTCTACCAACTGAATTTTAAAAATAACCAATGGAGGTTGACCTGAAAGGTTTCTTTTTATCGAGTTCTAATAGACTTTACTATCTGAAAGCAAAAACTTTGGGAAGAATAGTTTGGGAAATGAATGAAACAGAAAGATTTCAGAGTTTGTCCAGTGCCTGGCTACTCACCTTGAATAATTTTAACTCCTGAAAACATCTGGCCATCATTAGCTTTAGGAGACCCTGTAAGAAGTCAGAATATTTTTATGGGAACAAATTAATAGGGCCTTAAATCCTTTTTGGATTGTAGAAGAGGACCTGTTTTACTTTACCAGATGACCCATAGAGCTTTGAGAATACCTGTTGTATACATATGTATTTATTTGTTTGTGAAACTAGCCTTTTCCCCTCACAGCCAGAAGGTGTCATTCTCAGGTAGCATGCAAGCTATCAAAATATTTTTAAATCCCAGAAGCCAAAAAAACACTAGCTTTCTAAACATTAAAAAAGAAAAAAAAAACACAAAAATACACTGGTCTTCAAGATTTATGTTTTGAAAGTTTTAAAAGAATTCATTAGAAAGGGAGCGAGAAGGAATATTGGTTTCACTTATTTATGCATTCATTGCCTGAAAATAATGTCTATCTCAGAATGTATGGTCACTGAGTTAAGTTTAAGAAGAAAAGGTGAAATACACAAGGTGAAATACTTTAAGAAGTTTAAGAAGAAAAGGTGAAATACTTTCTCATGAACATGCTGATTACATACTCAGTTAGGTAGCATATTTGTCCAGAAAACTTGTATGTGAGGGTTTTTCTTTCTTAGTCCCCACCCTCATCCCCAGTCTCATAACTCTGTGTCAGCAACATGCTAGGTACTGATGAGACAATATAAACAGTTCAAAAATTGATGGGTACTCTTTGCTAGACATGTAATTGTTGACATAAAAGCAGGTATTAGGTACTAAAGAGCAGGTTCAAGACCTGTGTTCCACAGAAAGAGAATGAAGTGACATAAACCAAGTTGGAGTTTCAAATCTCTACAGAATTCAGTATTTTGTACTGAATATGTTCTTTCCCATTTTACATACCAAGAGACCAAAACACACATTTGTGGAGTAACTAAGTGGCACCAAACAAAAGTTCGAAGTTGAAAACAACTTGAGAAAATCAAATGGTATTATTGGCTAAGAACCTGTTCTTATTTGTTCTAAATGCTGTATTGATAGCCATTAAAAATAACTAAATATTAAAAGAATCAAAATAATGTAGATGTGTCCAGACTGTGTTTGGAGATTCCAAATTGGTTCGTTTAAGGAACTTACCTGTGTCAGATACTTTAACTATGTTTGATAATCCTTACTTTGTTTGAATCATCTAAAATATTCATGAATTTCTGTCAGTTGCCACAAAGTTAAAATTAAACCCCTGCTCTTGGCTTCATGAGACAAAATATTTCTATAAGGATCTTTATTTTCTTGACCTTATTATTTCCAGTGCAATTTATATTAGCATCTTCGTAATTACATTACACCAGGGATCCAGAACAAAACATCATATTTTGTGGTATCTCTCCTTAATAAATGTCTTTGGGCCATATATTCATCCAGGTGCATGCAAAGTAGGGGTAGAAAGTAGGCTTGCCAAATCCCAGAATCTCCAAATTATGGCATTTTCACTAACACCATTGAGGAATGTGCATTGATCTACTTTATTGAGCACCTACTAAATTTCAGGAGGTTTATACACAGGGTGGGGTAAAAATAGGTTTACAGTTGTGAGTATGCGAAACACGGAGTTTATTCTTGTATTATTATTTATCATATAATTTTCCATACAAACAACTCTAAACCTACTTTTGCCCCACCTGGTATATAACTTCTAATTGTCACAACCCAGAAAAGTAGACACTATGACTATTTTGTAGAAAACTGAAATTAATTATGTTTAATGAACTTTTCCAAGGTTATGCAGATCAGATTTTTAAATGAGGGTTGACTTCAAAGACCATATTCTTCCAATCACACCACAGCATGCCAACTTACTACCTTGAGAGACTGTACTAATTTGAAATATAAAATGAATCAATGGTGTTCATGGTCCATTTTTAACAAATGCTAAGCCCACTTTTCAACTGAGACTCCTCAGTCCTCTTGGTAGTTGAATTACCAAGCCCAGCATTTCTTGTGCCATCTTGGGAAAGATAGAAAGTTAGGTGATGGGAGAAAAAGAGAATATTAGATCTGTTTACTTGGTGGTGGCTCTTAGAGGAAGAGAAAGGAAGAAACTTGTTTTCTTGCTGATTTTTCTGTTTAAAAGAGAACAAGGGTATGTGGGGAGTGGGAAAGAGGTAAAGGGCAAATAAAGAATATTGATATGGTGGTAATGAGCAATGAAGAGTTGGTTTGGGGGCGTGTATTTCTCCAACTCCCTGGTCATTCTACCTTTCACTGAATGAGAATATTCCATTTGGCTTTCAGGCTAGGGTTGTCATGTGAGAAGTGTACATTAATTTTATATTTTCTCATAACTTTCTTTTGGGGATAAGCATTTTGGTTTTCTGCTGTTTATTATTTCAGAGGCATCTATATGCTAATATGTTTATGCTAATTATTTTCATGTTTCCCCTCAGGTTATGCTTCATATCACCCACCAGGGAGGATCATTGCTCATGAAAACTTTTAAATTTGATTTTGAAAATTATTCAGAAAAATTTAAGCGATGCTCTCTTCCAATGTAAGAAAGAATATGCTCTGGAGATTCTTATAATTCAAAGAAAATGGATTGGTAGAGCATTTGAGTTCTCATGCTGCCAAAATCCTCTTGAGCAGGTACACAAAGCATTTAACATTGTGACATCAAAATGTTGGAAGAATAATTAAAATATTAATTTAATAATAGGTTTTCAGAAATTGCTAAATTTCAATGTTTGATCCAGAGAGAAGAAAGGAAAGGCTATTTTCATTCTCCACAGCTTCTGAGTTGTGTTAATTGCTTCTATTGCTATGAATACTATGTTTTAATTGTATGTCATTGTTCCTTAGCATCACTTCTAGAAAGTTAATTCTAATAATATTGATGTTTGAATCTGATTTTCTGCTTACAAGATAAATGAGGTAAAAGAAGAACTTCATAATAAGCTAGCTTAATGGTTTCTTCCAGCTTTTTTATTACAGGGACATATTTTTTGAGATTGTTATTTGTTTTGAGAGTAGGTTCCAATTTAAAAAATTAGAAGTTAGCCAATTGCCCTGTCTTAAAACTATTTTTTCCAGGCATCTTCTTTGGAAGATAACCAAGACTAAAAAGCTGATTTTGCACCATGAGATATTAAAACTTAGATCACTTTGGGGGGTTTTTACATTTCTCCCTTTTGTTCCCAAGCATCTCAGGGGTGCAAAGAAAAGGCCCCCATTTCATGGTCATCCCTATTGTTTTTTGTCCTGCTTGGTGCTTAAGAAAATCAAGGAATCAGAAGCACGGGAGGATTCATACTCCAGACTTAAGTTCATCATGGGTTCTGGCCTCCTCCTTACCTCTTCCTCTCTCCACTTTTCAGTAGCTGCACCTAGTCTCATTTCTAATCTTTAAATGCTCCCACTTTTCAAACTCAACAGTGCTTCACTCTGCAAGAAGTGCAGCCCAGATGATACTATTTCCCCTCTCAGCTCATTGTAATGCCTCTTGAGTTCCAAGGCAGCTTTGACAGTAGGAGAGTTAACATCCGGGGCTGGAAGAAAGGTCTTCTGAAAGGGCGCCTGACCAAAAAAAAAAAACAACAACAACAAAAAAACTAGGTTCTTCTAGCTTAGACAGGTT